CCTGGTACGAAGAGGTAAGAACAAAAGGCAAAAGAAAACCAGCTCAGACTGTGCCCCCCTTAGCTTGCCTGCTGAGTGCCACGAGGAGGGCAGCAAGCAGAGCAGCCTGAGCACCCACCAACTCATCTCACACAAGCCATTGCACTGCTCGGTCTGACATCACTTGCTTGTGCACATTTCGTTTTGCTAGAGTTAGAAGCTGATACAGAGGCCAGAGCCTCCATACCCTACTCCAGCACGAGCCATCAAGTTTAAAAAAGACCCTACCCAGCCATCCGTGATGGGAATCCAACAACCAACAGCCTTCCCAGAACCCAGCAGGGAGCGGGGCACCGTTCTGCCCAGAGCTGTGCCCCTCTCTGGGGAGAGCAGCACCAAAGAGCTTACACCCTGGCAAAAAGGTGGGAGCAGAGATGGGGACCCTCACCTTGGGAGCTGAGATACACAGGGAGACTTCACCAAGCTTGTACGGGGACCGTGGGGCAGAGAGGAGAGGTCTACCCTGGTGTGGATTTACTGCAAAACGCACTGTGAGGAACAGGCTGAATTTTGCTTCAGCTAAATTGATATATTACTGATGTAAAAGCCAGGGTTCTGGGAGGAGTTTTTCCTTGGGTGGGAGATTTTGGTGCCCACTTTCAGAGCTGCCCTTGCTTTCTTGCCTCTCCACTGCCAAGGGTCCTCAGGTGTCCTGCGGCAGCAGGGGAGGAAGGTGTCTCATGCTGAGTTGGCTGAAGCTGAGGATGCAGAGGGAGCAGAATGACAGTCCAAGGAGTGTCCCCTCAAGAGGGACACTCTTCAAGACCATAGAAGCGGATGCATCCCAAGGCCTCACCATTTTCATTTCCCCAGGGTTTGAAGGAAAGGGTCCTTCTTACCCTCAGAGAGAAAATACCTGCTTTATTGCCTCCCAGCACGCCCAGAGATGTTACCCCCGTGTGCCCTCCCCATGAAACTCCCATGAAAGCCAGACCCCACACCGAAGCTGCTGGGGTCAGGCAACCCCCCCGCCGTCCCGGGGAGCGATGCCGGCTGCTCCCGAGGCAGCGATGGGGCTGTGGGGCTGCCCTACATTGCACCCACACGTACACACCCCAGCTCCTCTCCCCGGGTGCTGGGGTGCCCATCGTGCACCCCGCCCTGGGCTCCTGGCAGGCCGGCCAGTTCCCCCGTGTTAGAGGGTGGGGAGGGAAGATGTTGGGAGCGCCCGCAGCTATTCAGTTACCCAGGGTTGTGTTTGAAGAGCTTCCCTATCGCCCTTTTGTTAAAGCTTTGGCTTCCCCCCCATAGCCTCAACAGATGAAATCAAAGGGAAGTAGCTTTGCTTGGTGTAACCTGTTTTGATCAAGCAGATAAACGGGGAACAAGTGTCTGACACAAACAAACAGACAGACAGAGGCAAGTCCCACCTCAGCATTTTGTTGCATCAGATACAGAGGGCTTAGATAAACCACAAGAAGGGGGAGATCTCTGCCTCTCGGCTTGAAGACCAGGGGCGACACTCAGCAGTGCCAAGCCCCCACAGTTCCCATAAAAAAAATCAACCCAGAACTTGCTGGCATGGCTTTCATCAGTTTAAAAAGATGAAAAGAGCTTACAGCCAAGCATAAAACTCACGCTTGTCATTACCCCCCATGGAGTCAGAGGGACTGCCTGCCAGCCCAGCCACGGCCGCCGCACGCCCAGCCCTGAGCCCCGCTGGCATCAGGCAGGAAAGGGTGAAGAGGACCCTCAGACCATGGGGTGACCCTGTGCTCAGGACCCACACAGCTCCTGGGCGATGGGGGAAGGCACCTCCAACCCACAGGAGAGAAACTCCTGCCTGTTCCCCTCTTCCCTCTCTCAACACGCAGTGTGATTTAAAAAGGCAGAGTTAAAGTAAAGGAGGGCTTAAAATTCACAAGCCTGGGTAGGGGAGGTGAGGTTCCCCAGATTTTCATTTTTATTTTAAATCCTGGCTTTTTGTAAAATGGCAAAATTGCACTACAACCAGTAGACGTGGAAGGGGGGTGGAATCAAACAAATATGGGGTTTTGGAGAACATCTTACTAAAAGCTTTGAAGTGTTTTCTATGAAATTGGTGTGGATTAAAAAGAAAGAAAAAAAAGAAAGAAAAAAGAAAAAGCTTAGCTTTTTCAACCTCCTACGAAAGATGAACAATTTTCACAATTTTCTCAAAAAAGAAAAAGCCCCGCGATTATTTTAAACACTTTCAAAGTAAAACAATGCCCCAAATTACCCTTTTTCCCCCTCTAAGCCTAAAACTGGCTGAGATATGAAAGGATGAGATTATGCTTCTGCTACTGACACTTCCCATCAGATCTTTAGGCATCAGTTTTAGATCAAGGGCTTCGTTTACAAAAGCATTTTGGCACCCAACTCCTCCAGTATTTTTTTGGTTGCCTTTTTTTTTTTTTTTTTAATTCTTCTTGGAACCAGTCTGCATCTTTTGGTGATGAAAGGCCTTTGTAAATCTGCACCTAGAAGGATTTCCATTCTTTATAAGCTATAATATTGTTAGTTTGGTAACTGCCCTCTCCTTTGGAGGTAACAAGATTCCTGGGGAGCTGTGTAGATTGGCCCAATTCACTAGGAAACGGGTCTTCAATTAATGAGTCATTGGAAAACAGATTTTCCCACATGAAGCTAGTAAACAAAACACTAAACTATTAGGTGTTGCAGTAAATATTCCTCTAACAGTGTGTATAAGGGAAAATAAAAACTTCCAGGGCAGTTCAGTACAAAGAGCTTTGTTGTTTGTAAACAGAATGGTCGGAAAAAGGAAAAAAAAACCCAACAAAAACCCCAACAAAGATGGGTAGAGGTTTTCAGTAAAGCATGAAGGCAGACCCTCCGTGGGCTTGGCTGGTGGTGACTGCCAGTGGGGCTGATGTGCCAGGGGACACACCTGAAATACAACACACAGAGCTGAGCAACAGCCTGTCATCCTGCCCTGGCCACCCTCTTCTCTGGGAGCCCTGCGAGGGACCCCTCACCCCCAGGCAGAGCCTGACTTGCTGCAGGGTCTCCCATCACAAGCTAAGTCTGATGCGGTGATCTCTGAAGATCCCCAACAGATCAACCGGTCACGGGGACTGCATTTGGAAAAAGGCATAATATAATTTAAACAGGTTCCTCGTATCAGTCCGCAGGGAAGTGTCACTCTTTTGCAAATGAAGGAGATTTACTTGTTCTGATTTTCCTGCTTGATTTGAAGGCTCCTAGAGCAGAGCTAATGCTGCTGCAAACATTTTTGTTATTTTAAAACAAATTGACTTCACTTCTCTGCTTTCTTTTCTCAATTACCACTAGAAAGAGGTGCTACAGCTAACACTAATGGCTGTCTGGGAAGCTTAAGGTGGAAAATCTATTTTACCCAATCAACGGTGGTGCCAGTTTCTCACCTATTTAACACTTTTGGCTACAACAGCAGCAGCCGGAGTCTCCCACTCCAGTGAGTAACAGCCAATGCCAAAACCAAATTCGTAGTAACACAGCTTTCCCTAATCTTGATTCAACTATGCTCTCCATCAGCTGTGTGCCAAGAGGCACGGAACAGTTCAGGAGACTCTGGTTCCCAATTTGAGGCCCTGTATCCGCTACCAGGGTTTTTTGAAAGAGCTTGGAAAGTTGAGGACGTGTTTGTTGCTAGGCAGCTGGGAAAATTTTATCTCAAAAACCAGCTTATGGTCATCTGAAAGCCCTGAGCAGAAGCTGACCTGACCAAAGTCAATCAGAGTTCATGGACATGAATAGAACCAGATTTTATCTCTACATTAGATTATGTCAAATAACCCATCTTAATCACTAAGAGCACTGTGGATTTCTAGTGTTCAATGTACAGTGTAAATAAAGGAGTTGTTTTAGTCCTATTAAAACATGCCTAGGGTGCTCTGGCTTAACCGAGATCTTAATTTTTTTTAAGTCCTCTCAAGTGACAAAGGTAAAAGAGAAACAGTAAAATCATGCCGTGCAAAATGTTAATCTGCTGTCACACCTACCCCCAACCTTAGGGCTCTTCATTACTCAAAGAGCAATGATTCTTCTACATTGTCTCTATCACTTTGAGTTTTAAAAGGGATGTCTACAGATGAGCCTCACAGTTTCTTATAATCTTAGTTTGTTACACTTAGTAGGTGCTACATGTAATTCTTATTGCTGTTTATTTGCCTAAAAAGGAATCTGACCTCGAGCCTTTGTGAAATGACAGCCCCGAGGTCTTGCATTCAAAGCCCACTGCAGGCAGCGACAGTCAGAAGTCCTGCCAGAAAACCCCAAACTGATCTTTCTGGCGTGTATCACACCTTGTGACAGCGCAGGAGCCGGTAGGTAACCTGGCAGAAGTCAGTGCTAACACCAGCGCTATCATCTTCAAAGGATCGCCCTGTTCTTCAGCTTTGCATATTCAAGGAAAACTGGGGCTTCCAGCCATGGAACAGCCAGAGTCTGAGCAGTCAGGTGGGAGCAGTGGAGATGAGAAACTCAATCAAGCTTCAAGATGAAGAGCGATAAATTTTTTACTGGAACTACCTAGCTGGATTTGATTATTCCCGAAGTCACTCCTATTTTTCTACATATATGTGGCCGAAAAAGGCTTAGTCCCGGGGAGTTTTGTCTAAGGAGACGTTCCTGACATGAACCCTGTGTAAAATGAAGAGCTGTTTGTGCTGAACTGAGCGGCCCAAGACTGTTCGATGGCATTGCTCCTCTGGCAAGACGTGAGCGTATTTCCATGCTAAAACCGCAGAGGACATTGCCGAGACACACACTGATTCACTGCTGTTACAGGAGGATCTTGCATGCTGATCAAGATACCAACGCAATCCTAGCCCAGAGCGCATTCTTCATCAACTCCCAGGCTGGAAGAGCGCAGCGTAGCAGCAACAGGAGTCAAGCAAAGCACTGACAGAAACTTCCAGCACCCATACCCCCCTTTGCTTTTCTTTCCCCTCCCTCCTGGGGCTCCTTCGCTTGCCCCCCAGGTCCCGGACCCTCCTTACCTGGCTCCACCTGGTCGGGTTCATGCCGAGTATCTGTGGAATCTGCCGCATCACCGCTCATCTTGATCTCTGGAAAAGGAGGCACAACTGATTTTAATAACAGGTCACAGTCCCAGGCAACAGGCACATGTGGCTTCCACTAAACAGCACAAATGAATGTGTAATTATAATAAACCATCAGACTTTCAAATTTCTGATTCCTCAACATACAGTCACTAGAATATTCATCAGCTCCGAGGATGCACTTTCCCTCCTGTTGCTCTTTGCATCCCCCCCCTCATTCCTCTCCCCCTCCCCAGTTTGCTGCTGTGTTCTCACCTTCCTCCTGGCTCCTCTCCCACACGGAGGATGAGGAGTTGTCTGACCACCAGGAGCCCTCCCAGCCTCGGTGGCCTCTCCCCCCAGCTTTGTGCAGGCTTCCCAAGCCAGCCAGTGTGGCTCTTAGTGTGACACCATCCACCACCCACACCTGTAGAGGCAGGGGGTCCCTCCCAGCTCTCCCCTCCTGGCCCACGTCCTCTCCTTGTCCCTGGAGATGCTCAGCCAGGCCAGTGCTTGGTGCTGTACGAAGCGCAGGCAGGACCAGCCTCAGGAAGATGCAAGATGCTCTCAGGGAGGGAAGCAAAGTCCCTCTTCTCCTCTCCCACCCTTGCGAACTCTCAACCCATCTGATCCCTGTTTGCAAACTCCTGCCCTGCTCTCTCCCCCCTTGACAAACCACAGAGGAGCTGCCTTGCTCCAAAGCACTGTCCCCAACCCAGGAGCAAGAAGAGTAAGAAGAACGCTTTGCCATCATGCTCCCAGGGTATTTCCCTCCATCCTTATCAATGCCAATAAATTTGTCATTTACCCTTGAAGTGATGACTGCCACCACACCCGGGGCCACGTTCTCCTTCGGGCACAGCTGAAAGAAAAGGTGGGAATAGTCAACTTTACACTGGATTCCTCACCTCCTCCTTAGAAGAGGCAAAGTACACACCAGTGAAAGGAGGAAGAATATCTATTCAAATTCAGATGGACACCCCCTCATGCTCTTCTACCTTTAGCATGGGAATTTTAACTCTTTCCAGGCTAGTTGGGGGAAGAAAAAAAGATAATAATAATTTTTTATAAAGAACCAATTGATTTGCATGTGCTTCCTGCAGCCAATCCCGGCCACAGAGCTCATCCGATTTGCATTGGGTAATAACAACAGTGTGGAAGCTGGGCGAGTGTTTGCTGTGGTTTAGCTGGGGTAGAAAAGGCAGGTGGAAGCCTTCTCAAAGGCATCATGCAAACCTTTTCCTCTTTCCTATATATGCCTTTTATTATTTCCAAACGGCCAAAAGGCTGAGAAGAAGTCTATAGTTTTTTATACCCATTTCCCTGTTACTCACACTGGAGCAGGCAGGCCTTTTTGTTTGTACAGGTTTGGGGTTTTTTCTTCCCCTATTCAAACTTCCAGTGTGTAAATGGAAAATTATCTGCTTTTTGGCCAAAATTAAATAGCATTGTTTAGATTAAATTTTGAAGCTTTTTCTTCAGCAAGTGAAAAAAGGAAAGAAAAAATGACAAGATTTTGTAAGAGATGGACTGCACAAGCATTCACATATTTCAGAAACTTCCTTTCTTTAAGATGCATTAGGGGGTGAGGGGGAAAAGGAGAGAGAGAAGAGTTGTGGGATTTTTTTTTTTTCTCCCCTTCAAATAAACCCTCTGCAATTAAGACATGAACATTTAGTGGGGCTTCTAAGCATTTCTACTGCAGGAAGAGTAATTATCATCATCTTCTCATCTTGTAATACTGCCAAGGGACCCTAACTTAGGCAATCTACAAAGCACAAAGTTTTGTTGGATGCCAAAAAATATCTTAAAAGAAAAAAAGCCACATTCTCATAAAACAGAATAAGAAAAATCTTCAACCATGCAAAAGTTTGGTGCTTGATTCAGTAAAAAAGTCTGCAAGCTTGCAAAAAAAAAAAAAAAAAAAAAAAAGAAGGTTTCACTGTGGGAAAGGGTTTAATATTTTTCCTAGAACTTTTTTTTTTTTTTTTTTTTTTTTTGAATAAGAAAAAAAGTCAGCAAGATAAAAAAAAAAAAAAAAAAAAAAAAAAAGCAGGTTTCACTGTGAGCAAGCAAATAACAAATACACACACATTAGCGAAAGAAAGTGATCTAATCCCCAAAGACCAAAGAGCCCCTTATGGGCACAGAGCAAGAGACAGAGAAGCTCAGACAGAACTGAAGGAGCCACAAAAGCAAACCATGAGCCGCTCTCTCCCTTTTGCAGGAGGGAGCCCTCAGCCCCTTGGCCGTTTATCACCTGGGGTGGGCCAGGAGGAAAGGAGGAATTGCAGCTGTGGCTTGATTACCCATCACATGCTATCCATCAGTTAAATTCCTTCCTCCTGGAGTCAGGAGATGACAAGATACCCTCTGATTCTCTTGTATACGGAGCAGAAGAATTTTATTTTCACAAAGGCTCAAATTCCCATCATAAATGTACACATATTTATTACTTTTTTATTACATAAATGTAATAAAAGTTTAAATATCTTGTAGGGGGAAAAAAATCCCAGAACCCAGGGAGAAAAAGAAAGCCCCCTTTTGGTCAAAGCCTACTGAGTGGTTTGGGGCTGGCCAGGACAGCAGTGCAGCACCGGTCATCTGCCAAGGAGTCCATAAGAATGAGGAGCAGGCATACAGAGGAATTACTTTCTAATATGACATAAGCATAGCCGAGATAAAAGCAACCTTTTTATTGAGACCCACTATGAACCAGGATGGAGTGATGCATCTGGATTTGAACATCCCCCCCAACCAAGTAGGACAAAATATCTCAAGACAAAACAGGCTGCGAGACTGAGTTTGACTAAATGCAGGCTCCTTGGCAATATCCAGAGAATAAGCAGGCTAGTAAAAAAAAAAAATCTCTGGGAAAAATAATGCAACTTAGGACTGCCTAACTCCTAACCACAGACCTATTAGGAGCCGCCACTGTGGCCTGGGCCATATTAAAAATGTGCTGCTCTACCTGGGCTAGCAAACATACCTGGGGTAGGGGTAGTCTGGTTTGTTCACCCAGACCAAAGAAACTCTACCAGTGCAGACACTTCTCTGGGGATATATCTGCATCTCTATTTTTGCTGAAACAAACGGTGTCAGCAAATACAGCTTTCCCAAGCCCTTATTCCTATAGCAGTTGTTCAGACACGGGCACTGGGATAAACCAGCCTGATGACTTCAAAAGGCAAAACGAAAGCCGGTGGTGATGGTGGGGGAGCTCAGCTTGGCCACGACCATCGCCTGGAACCTGTTGGATTTTTTGCACTTTAGGTGCCCGAGTCCCTCTGGAGGCTCCAGGAAGGTGCAATATCCAAACGCCTGGGGAGGAGGAGGTGGTACGCGCCAGGGAACGTGCTGCTGCAGGGAAGGAGGGTGTGTGGAGCCCGAGCAGCCCACCTTCACTTTGCAGGCTGCATCTCCTCTGCATGGCCAGGGAAGGCACAGAGCACACCTCTGCAAGCAGCTCGCTGCCAGGCCTTGCTGCTCAGGGACCCCAAAACCGAACACGCTGAACAGCCTTTGCACGAGGGTGAAGGAACACCCTCCTGCCAGCGCTAGGCTCTGACACGTGGACGTGGTTGGGCACAGAATGGGCTCCCTCCCTGCTAAAAGGCTGCTTAAACCTTAGGCCGTTCCGGCAGACGGCAGGGTGGGATGATTTGGGAGAGTGGAAGTTGAGCGCGCACCCGGCTCGGCGCAGCTCCTGGCCAAATCCACCCTGGGAGTGATGCCACTGCCTTTGACAGAGGGCACAGTATCGATTGGGGGAATCTTCTCATGAAGAAAGAGTCGCCCACAAGCAAAGCAGATGGGTGGATAGGAGCCTGCGGGGGCTGCGTCCCCGAGAGACACCACACACACAAGCACACCCATCGCAGGTGCTCAGACTAGTCAGGCTCACACGCCGAGCCAAGACCACGAGCCTCCTGCAGCCTCTCCCCGCTGTGCCACGCTGGGGGCTGCCCTCCCCATGGCTGGCACAGGGACCCCAACTGCTCGGCTGGCCACAGAGGGGCTGCTGGCCCCCCCGGAGCTGTGGGGAGGTTGCAATGCAGCCACGGAGCAGAGGCTTTGGCCATCTCAGGCTGACACTGTGTGAGGTGGTGGCATTGGCACAGCATCTGCCTTGCCCTGCAGGCCCCCCCGCGAGCCCAATGCAGGCAGGGCCTGGCGAGGGGCTACAAGCGCTGGGCACGGACCCAGAAAGACCAATAGGTATGCAAGGGGAATGAGCCTGGGGCAGAGCAATGGACATACCTCCCGCCTCCAACCCTGGGGACAACACACAGCATCTCCTGCTGCACAGAGGAGCAGACACGGGTGACTATTCCCGTACCCCTGGCACCCTGCTGCCTGCCCCTGCCCCAGGAGGGGCTGTCAGGATCTGTCCTTCCCTGCTGCCCCGGCTCTGCTCCTGCCCCACGTCACCCTCAGCTCCGACATGCCCAGGGACACAGTCCTCCCCCTCCAGCACGGGGGCTTGGGCTGAGGGCAGAAGCTAAACTCACTCTGTCGGGGCGAGCCGGAGCTCAGCACAGCTCCGAGGGATTTGGCAGTGATTGCTCTTGTTCCCCAGCTAATTGCAGAGGGGAGGTCTGCTCAGAGAAGGTGTGAGACTACCTGAGCTGTACCTGTGTGTCAGAGCCCCTGGAAGGAGTCTCGCTCCTTCTGAGTATCCCGGTTCATTCATTCCTCACCCAACCCAGCCTCCTGCAGCTCCCTCCTCATTCATTTCTCCCTCCTTTTCCCTCTTTGTCATTAACTTTTCTCCTTCCAACCCATGTCCCGTCTCACTCTCTCACACACACCCCCCCTCCACCCTTGCCGCATCCCTCTGGGAATTTATCCCCTCTCGCTCTTCCCAGCTTTATCCCAGTGACTGGTCCCTCAGGTCAGGCACTAAATGCCCATTTTTCCAGGCACCCAGGAGCCCCCAGCGCTCCACTTCACACCCCGTGCTAGGGCTGGCAGTGCCAGCGGTGCGCCCACATTGTGGGCATGGCTTGGCAGCCCCCTAAATCAGGGCAGCATCCATCCATCCATCCCTCCATCCCCAGGTGAGGAATGTGGGCACTTAACCAGGCACCGGCGGTGGTAGCCAGCTCCAGCTGGAGCGGAGAGGAGGGAAAAGGCGGGAGGAAAGGTCACAGGAATCAGAGCAACCCCGCGTTCCTGCCCCAGCCCCACGGGTCCCAGCCAGGTGGTGAGCTCCAAGCCCTCAGATCCTTCCTCCAGCGCTCTTTACCTGCGTGCACAGACTCCAGGTTCACCATCCTGCTGGCGGAGGGAAATCCGCGGTGCGCCCAGCCTCCTGCCGTCAGCCCCAGGTTGCCAGGGGCTGCCAGTTTGCCCTCCCTCCTCTGCCACCCGCTGCCTCTCAAACCGGCCGTGGGTCCGCTCCCCAAGGGACCTAGAGCTCCATTGCCGGTTGCCATGCAGGGCCGGGGGAGCATGCGGCGCCGCGCCACGCCTCGCCCCACCTCCGGCACCCTCGGGTGCCCTGACACCCAGCAGCCTGGCGCCCGGCCCATGCAAAAGCCTCCATTTGCATATTAGTAACTGGGGAATGGATGAGTCCCTGCAGCGCTGCCAGGGCCCCGGGTGGGGTGGGAAGGAGGGAGGGAGGGAGGGAGGAAGGAAAGGCGGTTTTGCCCGCCCTGGGCTGCGCAGATGCGCCCCGCAGCACCTGCCTGCCGGGCCGTGGATGGGGGGCTTCGCCGGGGGGCTCTGGTGGTGCCCCCACATCCCAGTCCTGGACAGGCTTGTGGCTCTGCCCCTTGCCATGTGCGGCTGAGGGAGGCCAAGGCAGCCACCAGCACCCAGAGGGGAAGGTGCCCGAGTTGTGGGACCAGCCCCCCTCCAACAGGCAGCCCCTCTGATAAACCCTGGGGTTTATCACCTCCTGCTCCATCTCGTGGGTTATCTCACGGGAGATCCATGTGAGCAGCCTGTGCCGTTCGGTCTGCGTGTCCCCCAGGTCTGGGCTGAACTTGGACAATGCCATGTGAAAAAACCAGCACAAAAAAAAAGGAAAGTTAAGAGCATAAAGGTAACCTGGCTTGGCTAAAGATACAGGGCAGGGCAAGGATCAGCACATGGAGACTCCCCGTTCCTGACTTGTGGTGTGTCAGTCCCCCAAGAAGAGGAGAGAAGTGGCAGACAGCCTCTTCCTCCTCCTCCACGTTGTTCAAAGCTGTAGCATTTAACTGACTTCCAGGGAAGCCAGGGGGGAAAAAATCCCCTCATGTCGGCTTCTTTGGTAGGAAGCTGCCAGAGGCCAGATCCTCAGCCTACGCTCTGCGCTGTGACAGGGACCAACAGTCACCCTGGGGGACCCAGGCACGGGGTTTGCTCCCTGTCCCGGCCGTGCACAACCCTGATGACCCCTACCATGGCCCAGGGTAGCAGGACGCCTGCGTTTTTACACCCGAGCTCCGGCACTGCTCAACCCCCTCCTGAAAGCGTTAACACACTCCATTGGCAGCTGCCAGGTACAAGCTATCACACATTCATCTCTCCCTGGCTAATTCACGTTCCAGGACTCTCGGCTTTCCCACATATTGCTCTCCCTCCCTGGAAAGACAGGTTTCTCCGAAGAGATGGGTGGGCGGGCAGGCTCTATGAGCCTCACCTCCAACCCAGTCCCACGTTTGTGGGGCTGGAGCGCCTGCCCTCGATGTGCCGTGGCCAGAGAGGACATCCCTCGGGAGAGGGCAACACACCGGGAGGAGAGGGTGGATGTGTGAAACGAAACCTCTAACAAGGAAAAAGAGGAGGGAAGCTGGGGGAGAGATGGAAGGGGGGGAAAGCAGGGAGGAGGGAAGATCCCGGGTCAGACTAATGTTTGCAGGACACGGAGCGAGGGGAGATTTCCACGGGCTGCGTTTAGTGCCGCTCCAGGAAGCAGAAAGGTGACACGGGGCAGTTGGCTCAGGCAGCTTGTTTTGAGCTGCTGGAGGGGCTGGACTCCTGCCACCGAGCCCCAGCCATTCAGGCCCTGATCCTTGGGACGTTCCTGGGCAGCTGCTGGTCTGATTTCTAGTGTTTTCAGCATGCCCCCCCACCTCACCTCTGGGTTTTCCCCATCTTGAAGGCTGACGTGATCAGATGTCTTCACTGCGTCAAAGGTGGATTTGCTGGTGGTTTGCAGCCAGCTTGAAGGGCCTCTGGGGCACAGGAGAAAAAGCTGAGGACCACGAGAACTCTCCTTCCCCCCACATCAGAGCACCTTTTTGTACATCAACTACCAGTTTCTCTTGACACAGTTCTTTTCTCTCTGATTCCTGGTCCTTTTCCCTTGCTCCAGAGCCGAGCAGCCTCTCCCAGAGCCCCAGGGAGGCAGGTCCTCCCCGGTGGCACCTCCAGCCGGAATCCCGGGCATCCTGTGTCCGGGGATGCTGTCCCGGCCATGGGCAGGGCCGCAGTGCCCTCTCCTGGCCCTGCAGATGCTGCCACCAGTGCCACAGCTGGGGGGATCTGCTTTTTCTGACTGTTATTCTGTGGTCAGTGGAACAGGAGGAAAAAAATAAGTATTTCAGTGCTTTTCTCCCCAAACAGCCGCAGCAGCAAGTTACCCTTGGCTTCAGTGATGCGCTGTGCAGTCAAGAGAGAATACACCCTCCTTATTAAGCTACGTGAACCACCTCTGCTGGAAACAATAGGGGAGGGATCACAGCATCATCACTCCTTTCTGCTGCAGAAATAAGACCACCTTCTCCAGGCAGAGGCAGCTTTGCTTTAACTCTGTCCTGAGACCATCACTCCCAGGTGCCAGCACACATCCTGCTGGTTTTTTCCACGGCCATCAATGAATGATCCACCTGCCCTCATCCTCCCTACACGCACGTGCTCCTCCGCACCTGCTGCCCATGTTTATTCCCCTCTTGGAGGAAGATAAGCTCGCAGATAGCACTTGATTTATGGAGTATGGCCTTTGGACGGGCCCTGAGAGCACGAACTGCAGAAAGATGTGACAAAAATCCCCCGCTGCTTTTTCCCAGCAGCCCGGTGCTTCTGGCCAACTGCACCTTCTCTCCCTGCCAGGAAGGTCTCCTGTCTCCACCTGCACCAGCTGCTTCTCCAGGGCGTTAGCAAGAAGGAGGATTTTTCTTTGGAAAGGCACACGGCAGCGCAGCCCCAGCCAGGCTGGGGACACCGCGGGGCATCTTGCGGGGCCCGAGGAGCAGGGGGGCACGGACCACAGCATCCTCCCCGCGGCATCCCGGCGCTGGGCACTGCCCCCCCACCCCGGCCCGGGAGAGGCT